GTGTGCGGTGGGAATTTTTTTTCTCTCTTCCGAAAGTGGAACTGACATGATGGATGACGGAGGGAGGAGAAAAAACTGGGGGGAAAACCGGGGGGAAGACTTGCCAGACGAGAACCGAATAGCGATTGCGACCACTGAGAAGGTTTTTCTCTCCCCCAAAAGCTTTTTTAATTCTGCCTTTGCCGGTATTCAGCTTGAACGGGGGCGACTCCGGCTCGATTAAATGGATTCTCTCGGGAGATCGAGTCGGCTCGAAGTTGCATCGATTAATACGGCCCGTCATTCATCATGGGATAAAATATAACATAAAAGCCCAGGACGTTTCGCAGAAGTGGGGAAAAAAAAGCTCTTTTAAATTTCATGGTTTCCTCGTTTATTTTTTTGTAATTTAATTTGAATTTGTTAGGTTAAGTTTTTTGCTCTGCATTTTAAAATTTCACTTTTTTTGGAGGCTCTGTCGACTAAATCCCCGAATGTTTTTTTTTTGTCTTTTGCAGCAGATTCAGCATGTTTTCCCTGACCGCTTTTCGCAAGCACCGAGAGGTGAGTCCTTCACGATTTCTTCGCTTCAGTGAGCCTTGCTTTAGTGGGCCTTCGTTTTTTAGTACATCGAAGCGACCTACTGGCTCCTTTCTGTTGCATTCGACTGTCGCTATCCGAAGTGAAAGGATTGCTTTAAAAATCGGTTTACAGACACGTGTAGGCAAGATTCAGGCCGAGTCCCTTGGTTTTTTCTTCTTTTTTTCGGGAAAAAAATGTAAAATAAAAATTTTTTAAAGCTTTTTTTTTCTAACTCGAGAACTCTCCCGCGTTAATGCTTGAAGGTTTTTTTTTCGCCATTCCAATAGCAAAATGAAAGTTGTCGTTGTAGATAACTGAATTTTTGCAGTCGGGTTCAGAATGTGACTGTATGTGAAGTGAAATAGTGACATCCAGTGACGTCCTTATTAGAAATGAAACCCACAACTGAAATGTTTTTCGCTATATATTTCAATTGAACACATCGAAAAACCGCTTCCGTTGATGATGTCGCCCTACTCGCGGGGGGGGGGGGGGGGGGTAAAAGGCCACGAAAGGGAATTGGGGATCATGGACGCAGCGGGCCTTTCATGAGGCTTTTCAGGCGCTTTTGGGGATTCCAGCCAGGATTTGAGTCGGTCGATCTGGCTTACGGTTCGAGAGGCTTTTAGTGATTGGAGGTGCTTGGCTTCTCCTGCCATCTCGGGACCGTTTTGCAAAGTTGAAGTTTGTGAATGCTCCTCTAGGTGTCGGGACCTTCCTCTCATTCCGAGGAAAGTGACGACATATTTTGCATGCCGTGAATGCCGTCGCCTTGATTACTTTTGTATGCATATAGGCCTTTGTCATTCCGAGCACATTTGAGCTGTTCCAATCCAAATTAGTTTCTTCCATGGATTTTTTTAGCACGCTTCAAGTATTCGCGAGGCTGTCATTCATCCAGCCCTCATTCTCGGCTGCGGTAGGAATTTGGGCAGATTTCTGTGACTTTGCCTGGGTTTTGTGAAATCGTTTTGTGGGATTAATGAGCGAATGATTTAACCGAGAAACGTGCCTATTCGCATTTACGTGCCACTGTAGAGCGTGCGAAGAATGAGAAAACCCAATCATCTTTTCGCTGCGCATGAAATTGGGGTAAAAAATAAAAAAAAACGCATAAAAGCACTCCTTGGATAACGCATAAAAGCACTCTGTCTGATGGAGGAGGTGGAAATAGTAGTTGGGGAAAGCCATTCAGGAGGCGGCGAGTGCTGTCATCTATTGGATGCCGTTTGAAGCCTGAGAATCGAATGGATGTGGCTCTATCCTTGATTTGCTCGGGTGGAAGCCTCCCTCCGTTCAAGTCTTTGGAATGAATGGATCTGTCATTCCCAGGCCGTCAAGTTCTCTTGCGGCCTTTTCGCTCCTTGCCTGCTGTGTTTGTCTTCAATAGGGACGGTCTGTGGTTGGTGTGTGTGCTTTGCACGTCTCGTGGCTGAAGGTTAATTAATTTTAAAGGGCGAGAGGAAGTGGTCGACGCGGTTTCTCATTTTGAAGGCGATCGAGCGATGTGGATTAAACGCGTGAGTTATTGTCTCCACGCTGAATGCAGCCGCTATTGCATAACCGTAAATGCTGCCCAAGTTACTTTAAATTTGTTGACTGCTTCTGGGTGGATCCCATGCTTCAGTAAAAGTGTCTCGTGAATGAGTTTGAATGCAGTTATTTGTAAATTTCTTAAAACTGAATTTATTCTCACCTTCGCAACTTTTTTCTTTTCAACAAGTGACCAAAAGGGGTTGTAAAGGCTGGTAAAAGGAAATGTTGGCTTTCCGACAAAGTTTTCCTTCAGTTTTATTTTTCTATTCGATAGATTGGATCAGCTGGTCCTTCAGCGAGATGTTCAGTTTTGCAGTTTGGAGACTCTGTATCGGTTACAGTCAGACTGCCGGTGGATTAACGATTTCCTCGTTCACGGATTCTCTTTTGAGCATGCATTCGGCAGAGCTGAAGAATTAGAACGTTCCTGATGATTGGCCACCTGGAACCTCGATTCATATTGTAATGATTTGCTCGGAAGGAGGTAGTTCCATCGCTTTTGTTCCCTGGAAAAAGGCCTTGAAATTGGCTCCCGGCCAACAAAGTGATTCAAATTACGGTCTGAATGGTACATGAGAAGTAGGCAAGTCTCTAGGGCAGTTGTTGAGCCGGATGGCCACCTGAAGACCGCGCTTATTCACCCATTAGATTTCAGGTGCAAAGTCTTTCTGGGAATTCGATGAAGTCATCGGCATGTTAGGTACACAATAGACTTCAGAAGAAAAGTTTGTATAGGTTTCGAGCTGAAGAGAATGACTCAGAAGATTAGTTTCCGTTTGGGTCCCTCACGTCACTCATTCGAGACGAGGGTCCTCCAGGCCATTCTTTTCCGATGGGCTTGGTTCTTTGTCATGGTGCACGTGTACCTCCAGGCTTGTGTTTCGCACGTCAACATGGGAAATTGTTGCGGGTTGGTTGGGTGAGTTAGTTCTCAAGGTTTTCTTGAATGGTCGTCGTAAAACAAAATGGGTACTAAGCCGAATATACTTGTACAGTTAGTTCTTAAGTCTCTTGGAGCTGGTCGAACAAGCAATAGGTTTAACCCTTTGACCCACAAGTTTCGAAGACGCCTGTTATACGTGAGCCCGTAAATTTTACGGGCTTGGCTGTCAAAGGGTTAAAAAAAAATTGCCAAAAATTTATAAGCTGGTGAAATATATTATAAAGCTCCTTCTGAACCAATTTTTGGACATTTTGTTAAGGTTTCAGTAACAAGCAAAATCACAGTATTATTAAGTTTGAGAGTACCAGCATCCTATTACTTCAAGTAATACTTCTTCGGGATCTTAAATTTGGCCTGTACAATTTTCCGAGTGGCTTTCTACTCATTTTGTTTTCGTTCTTTTTGTTGTTTGTTTTCACATCCCACTCAACTCATGGGGGGAAAATGTAGTTGATTTCCACAGCTGCGCATTTGTAATAGCAGAGAAAGCTTCCTGGATAATACAAGGAAATACCAAACTCCTAGAAGGGGGGGGGGTCTCTTCTGTACAACTGGCTAGGTTCTCAAATGGTACCCAGAAACGGTACGAGTTTCGAGGAACCTCTACGCATGTATGGCTAGCAGCTTTGTACCTACGTTCTTCCTGGGATACCTACAAAGATACATGATCTCGAAAGTCTTCAACAGGACAAGAGCATTTCATGCAGCGTAACATGTCTGCAAAGAGTCAGTATACGGGACAAAACTCGAGAAATAGATGGTATGTGACAGTGGCACCCAAACACTACGGTCCTAAATGACGAGACCAAACGCTAGAGTCAGAATATCCAGATTGTATTTTGGTCGGCCAGAAAAAAAGCCTGTTTTTTTTTTCTTCCTTGTTCGCCTTTTCTTGGGTAATGAAGACAAACACACAAGAAGAAATCACTCGCTCCAGTCTACAAAAAGACACACTACTTTCAAAGAGAGGACAATGATCTCTTCTCACTTTTTCTCTCTCTCTCTTGCAATATGTATAGAGATAGGAAGAATCAGGAGTATTTTTGGGGGACACATAAAAAGTCCATAAAAAGTACTCAGGCTATCTAAAGGCACTAGACGACAGTACATTCTACCTCTAATGCACACTCATACTAGTGTTTGATGTCTTTTTTTTTCTCCTCGGTTTCATGAGATGACCTGAGCCACTCTTTCGTATATATCACAGGCTGAGGAAGAGAAGTTCCGCTGGGCTACGCCATGCAGGATTGGACTAGATCACAATCGAGATTCAAAATCGACTTATTTCATGTGGAAACGTCGCTAAGGGGTTCACGATATGTACAGGAAATGATATGATGGGGTCTATGAGGACCTAGGCCTAAGATATGTCGCTGGTGAAATGGGAGAGGTGATATTGCCACGTGTACCTTGGCTCTGTGGGAACACTGGAGGTGCTAGGAGGGTACTAAGTACCGGTTCATCCCAGGGTACAGAAGGGAGAAAGGAGGGGGGAAAAACGTTAAAGCCCAAAACCTACTTGAGGGGTCAAAAGGGGAACTTCCCAGTGACAGACAAAAGGGATTCAACAACGTTAAAAAAAAAATCCAGAATAAAATCATAATAGGAGGCAAGCAAGCTACTACAAGATGACCCAGGAAGAAACTACGTTTATTTCTCTGCTAGTGATAATAGCACGGTAAATGGGCCAAAAAGTGCAACTCACACATCACCAAAGGCTACGGAGAGATTTTCCTCTACGAGTACCGAAAAAACAACACCCACACACACACCGAATCCAACCACGCACACAAGCACATGACACTAATGTGACAAACCCAATAAAGAATTTCTTAGTTTTCTCTGCAACTCTCCTATAATTTTCCCTCAAACAGGGGGGAAAAAGGAGCTTCTCCCCTGTGTCAACAACCAAAAAAGAACACAACATAAATAAGGACTAGCAGTCTCAGGAGAAAATGGTAGTGGGAGGGAGAGAGAGAAAAAAAAGTGCAAAGATGAAAAATGAAAAAAAAACCGAACCATCCCACGAGAGGTAGAATCAAAAATTAGGTCCAGTGGACAATTGAGGAGAGATTCTCCAAGAATCTCGTCTCGAGGCAGACAGGAGAAGAAAGCGAAAATACCATGTAAAGATACAACAACTATCACTGGCTCCACTACGGTGCCGGTGAAACTCTCTACATCAACAGCGTCTAGGATACCAGCAGCATTCTCAACTCTAAGGGAGGGAGAAACCAGTGCTCAGTGAGACACAATGACAAACCACATTGGTGTTTCCAATTCTCGGCTGGAAATGAGAATGAGACCGGGTGAAAAAAAGAAATTTGCAATTTTTTTTTCTCCCTCAGACGTCTCGCTTACAAAAATATCTTCCAATCTTTCTCTGTCACAGAGAAAATTATTGCTCAATTGGCACAAAGAAACAGAACAAGGGATCATGTGTTCGTTCCCTTGATGGGGGCTGTAAGTACAAGAAGAAGGTATTTGAACACTTGGTTCCTTTAAAGCAATGCATTTTTGTCTTTGCTTCTTTTGGTATGGGATGATTAATACTGATAAGTGGTGAATTTTGACATTCATAAATACTCCAGACTAAAGATTTCATCTATTACCTCCATAATCTTGATCTCCATCACAAAATGACTTGAAGAAGGGATATCACAGGCGAATGGGGGGTTTGTAAACTACCCTCCACTTGTATATCCACTGGTTTGGGAAATGCAGTTTCATTATGCCATTGACGAATTGAGATAAATGCAAGAAATTATTACGCATAAAATTTTGTAGACTGCCTTGTAATTGGTAAATCCGGATACATTGCCTACCAAGAGTAGCAGGGTAGGTCTCTGCACAGAGTGGAAGCCAATGATTCCCTTATTGCTCCTCTGGGAGAGAGATAGGATTTTTTTTTTCCAAGGATGAGATCATTCAGCATGACTATAAATTTTCCACAACTCGCCACCACAACAACACAACGACCACGAAGCAAAACAAGCTGTTGCTTCATGGCATTGCATGAAAAAAAGAACCTGGCAAGACACTTAAGAGTCCTAGCAACGATAATCGCTGGAAGGTCGTTCGTTTCCAAAGGCGACAATCCCATATGTGAAAGAGCCAGGAAACGGTCACATGGACCTGCTGGAAGCACTGGTAAAGACATTTGGACTAGCAGCAGCCTTAGGCTGCATACATGGTAGGAAGCCCCAGGGTGGTCCAGTCTACACCCTGAAGCGAGGAGAGGTCGAAAGCAGTCGGTAGAGCGTAGCTCGTCATGTAGGGAGTGTTGGAGGCCATTGTCGGGGTGACCGCTGCAGCTGTAGGGACTCCATAGGGAGAGAAGCGATATGCCGAAGCCATATTCTGGTAGGCCAGCAGTTTCCCATACCCACCTTGGGACAGCGCCTGGGCCTGGGCTTGAACCGAGGCTTGAGTGGTCGAGACTGAGGTAGGTGTAGCCGCAGCGGCAGCAGCGGCCGCGCAAGCTGCTGATGAACCAGCCAAGGAGGTGGCCCCAGCCAATCCCATTTGTTGTAGGGCAGAGGCACCAGCCGCCGAGAAGTGACTGGTATTTACCTGTGGACCGGATGCCACTCCAAGCCCCATGAGGCCTGGAACACCAGTTGCAGCCGCGGGAACGAGGCCTGCCGGCATCCCGGCAGCTGCCGCGGTGAGAAGTCGTTGACGAGCCATCAGGAGGGCAAGAGATGGGGTCGGCTGGGATACGGCCTCTCGGGGCAGTGCCTTCTTGCACTCCACTCGCTTCCCTTTCACCGTGTGGAAGTGAATCTCACAGATCCTGTCCACGGCGTCTTCATTCAGCATGGTCACAAAGCCAAAGCCACGGTGACGCTTCGTCTGGTTGTCCATGAGGAGCACGGCTTCTTCCACCTGTGAGTGGAAGGTAAAGAATCAATAAGACACCCCTGATAGCAAGTATTTATAAGTTAATTCTCTGTATGATAAAAGAAAAATCGCTGACTCACAGTGCCAAATTGAGAGAAGTACTGTTTGACTTCCTCAACAGACGTCTCTTGACTTAGTCCTCCAACGAAGATCTTCTTGGTCTTGGTTGTCCCCTTCTTAGACTTCGGAGTGGCGTGCTTCGGGTCGATCTTCTTCCCATCCAGGGTATGACTGGAGACCTGAAGCACCTTGTCCACGCTGGTCGCATCAGCGAAAGTGATGAAGCCAAACCCTCGACTTCGCTGTTGAGGAGGATTAAGGAATGAACATCAGCCGAATCGGAAATTCCGACCTCCATTTATGGGGGAAAATACAGTAGAAGTGCGAGGTCAAGTAGGCATGAATCATGGCTTACTTGAGTCATGGGGTCCTTCATGATGAGGACATCGGTAACAGTGCCAAATACGCCAAAGTATTCCCGAAGCTTCTCGGGAGTCGTCTGCCAGCTGAGTCCGCCGACAAAGAGCTTGTTGGGGGCGGGGTCGTTGTTGGGGGTAGATCGCCCGGATCCACCTCCATTTCCTCCGCTCGCCAGGCCGTTTCCATTGTTAGCGCCGGTGCTTGGGGTCGTCTGGCTCCCATTCGAAATGAGCTGGACGTGGTTGTGGTTGGTCAGACCGTTCACAGGATTCCCAACGGCTTCAGCAATCAAGACATTGTCGTTGACCTGGTTGAAACGGAAGCAGGAACATTGTGTGCTTATTCATTTATACTCTCATTAATCAGATTTGATGCATAACATGAGTCCCACATTTTACTGCCTAAGGCAAACAGGGATGGATAACAGAATTACGATGGATGCAGCTATTAAATTCTCTAACAAAATATTATGTTTTACAGGTCCTCCCTTTGTTGGGCATCATGGGAGTTGCCGTCGCAGGGGTCGCTGGCTTCAGCTTCTACGCTCTTTTCACCAAGACCGATGTCCAGTAAGTAATTAGCTTTCTTTGATTTAATTTTTCCCCCATCCCACCAACCTGATATCTAACCCCTCAGATGTATTTACTTTCACAATTTTTTTTTAATTCAAGTTGGGTATTCTCTCAAACAGGCTGAAAAGATCTGACAAGATGCCGCGATGGGAATATATCGACCCGAAAAAACCACAAAAAGTGAGCAAACTTCTTTCTTCCATATCGAATCATATTTCCTCTTTTCAGGACGGATCCCCATTATGAGAGGATAGAAGGAGAGGGTTTGGTCTCAATATTGTCCCGTCACAGCAGCACGTGGTGCACAAAGCGGTGCTCCTGTATCAGGACAATTATGGGACTGGATCCACGTGCCTTCAGGAGGGAATTGACATCTACACAAGATGTTTTCAAAGGGAACTCACTGAGAGTTTCTGTGAATTGAGGATCATGTCGCTTTGCATGCCTTGATGGGCAGGGATGGCCGAAATCACTGGATGATACATCAATGTGTCTTTTATAGCACCATTTGTCACTAGTCACTGCTTTAGCCACTGGTACTGGTATCACAAAAAATAACAGCTATTTGGCTTGCACAGAGGACATTGCTTGTGGTAATTATTACCTGCTCGCATGGCTGACTTACAAACCTACGAAGAAACAGAGAACGTAATCAAATAAGTGTTTGAAAAAGTATTCCTAAAAGCCTAAAATAATAATGGAATGTTATAAAGATAAAACAATTTTTTTTTCTTCCCCAGCTCATGACCATTCATCAGAAATACGAGGCCATTCCCCAGCTGGAGCAGTTGAAGAAGGAGATGGGCGACCGCTGAAGTCTCCACTAGTAGCTGTATAGCATCGTAGCAGTTTGACACCAAAATTCTTATGTGATATTTGGATTGAAACAATAGCGGGCATATTTCTTTGTACATAAATCTGTGTTCTCTACTTTCATCTCCATCTTACCATGTGATATGCTTTCATCCGAGGCTTATTCCGCATTTCACGAGTTGAAAAAGGCGAGAAAAGAACTAAATTAAAGAATCGAGCAAAATTCATGCATTCAATTCCTTGCTGCTGGAGAAAGTAAATGTGAGACAATACGTTCAAGACAATAAAAATTCCTGCTGCACATGCAACCTCTCTGTTTTGTTTTACTCAAGTCTAAATTAAACCTGTGCATTTTTAGGATAAGAACTCATCGACATATATAGTGGAAAGGGAAAGGAGGTACCGGGGAAATACATAATTATATGCATAGCATAAGAAAAAGAACAATATGGTCTTCCGTGCATTGTCTCCAAAAGAGAGGCAAATATCTGCAGACAGATGGCAGTTGCACGTCTGCTCACCATGTCCTGAAATGAAAAATGACCAGATGAGACAGGGATGTCACCTTATAATCAATCATCATAGCAACTAATGCTGAGTCACCTGCGGTTGACTAAATAGCAGAATCATACAAACTTAGTTGAATTAGTGTCTTTTCTTGTGTGCACAAATGACTTTCAGCACGATGAGGATCCGTTCCATTACTTTTCAACCCACTGCAGACAGAACAGACCCGGTCAAAAGTTTCTCAGTAAAAGGCAGGAAAAAACAGGTACTCGTTTAAAATTCGAATACACAGCCTCGGTTCATTATTCGCTGCTGAGGAGGATACATAACTTCTTCACAGGAATATGCCAATGACCGGCCTTAGGGGTTGATGAGAAGCATTACGAAATATTCTCATCTGATAGCCTATGTCACGTTCCACACATTCTGTGATGTTCCGCTGACAGACATTTTTTTATCATTCGAGATCGTATTACACCTCGTACTGTTGATTACCATGAATAATACATGCCGGATTCGATGAATCGACTTGAGGGTGAGCACCTGACAGAAACAACCCCATCAATCGGAATCAACCCCCTATTCTTCGAATAAATGCAAGAGACAGATCTACTCCTCGATAACACGTTGGAAATAGCAGTGGAAATCCACCAGGGAGACGAAAATAATGGAAACTGGGAGGAGTTTTTCTTTTCAATCGCATTACCCTCACGATACCCCAAGAGACCAGGGTTGTGCTCAATCCAGTTAAAGGAACGAACTAAGATTCCTCCCGTTTCCTCTTCCTTTACAGACTTTAAATGTAATGCTGTTCCCTTGTTTTTAAATCTTTTTTTTTATAATGATTTTTAACAGTTTTATCATTGATTCGTCTGCAGTATGAACTTGGGATCTATGAATGAATCTTTTAACTTTTAAAGTATGTAAAGCGCATGGTTAGGTGTACTTTATGCAGATGTTACATTATGAACAATGCAAGAGACAATATTTAATTGAGTGTTAATAAATGACTCGTGCTGAAGTATCGCAAACGTAAAACTGGCTCATATTTCCTTCTTATCTCCCCCAGACAGAACGCGCACGAAATCCCACATAAGCGCACCTTGTGGGGCTACTTAATCCCACTCCACTCTAGGGCTTCACCTCCCCTTCCATCTTTTGGTCGACTTAAGGATGAGTGAACAATGGCGACGAATCCCTCCATCCCCTCTCCTCAGTTTTTATCGCGCTTTCTAGCTCATTGTGAAAGGGAACATCGGATTGGAAACTCCTTCAGGCCTCTCCATGACTCCCAATAAAGAAGATAGAGCTGCTTTTTTTTTTTTTCCTTTTTTCCTCCTGGCTTCCTTCATCTGAGCTTCATCCTGGACCTCATCTCCTCTTCTGAGAGAAAGGGCATTTCCGTGGAAAGCATGAAAATGGGCCCGGGCAAATAGAGGTAGAAAGGACCGACATTGGCTGGGGACCATGCCTGGCAGCAGAAGTTAAGGACATCCCGAGGGAAAAGAAAAGAACGCAAAAGACCCAACTTTATTTTGCTGGTCTCACTAATTGAAGTATGCAAGTATGAGAAGAACATTAAAGCTTTCCACACTGTCATTGACGTCAGCTGCAAATCACAGCCTCCAACACGACATACCAGAGAGGGAAAAAAAAAGGCTCCTGAAAATTCCTTCGCCATTCCGAAAGAATTATTGAGTTCATAAATGACTCAGCGCAGGGCTAAGAGGCGCATTTCGTGGGATGAAATAAATTCAGTTTGTCTCCTCCGCGGTGGATCCACCAGATATCCTGTCTTATGAGATGGGATGAGAGGCGGAAAATGGAAAAACAGTCTCACGGACTCGATGAAGAGATCAAACTTCCATCATCACAAATCTTCCTCTCTTAATCCCCCGCTGTCTCCAGTTCCAAGCCGATCGCATTCTCCCCGAGTACAGAGGCATCCAGGTCCCCCCCGCATAATATTTCAATTGCCGTGGATCTCGAGGGAACTCCCATCCCGGCAAAGGAGATTCTGTCGGATCATTTATGAATCATGAGACTTCTGACGGCTGAGGGGGAAAAGAGATTTCTGTTACCGAGGAAAAAAAAAAACAGCAGACAGACCTGCAATAGAGGAGGATATATACGATATATACCCTTCCACATGATGGATATACGACATACACCCGCCATATACATTCCCATCCCCTCTTGCCCATGACAAATGCACTCGAAATTTGCCATTCCCAGGAGACAATGAAGGAAAATGAAAAGGATATATAGGCTAGAAGAAAGCCCGATGACCCCCAGGAGAAACGATGGCTGAATCCCAAATTCGATTCGCATCCGATTTGAATCCCATGCTGGAAAGGTTCATGGAGAGTAATTTGCATAAAATTTCAATAATTGACGATTCAGATTCGGATCGACTCGGCTTTCTTGAAAAAAGGTTCCCAGAGAATAAAATGTGACATTTTCCTTCACAGTTTCCGCTACTTGAGTAGCTTGAGATCAAATCAGTGATGAAAAAAATAAGCAATACGTTTCTCAGGTGACGTTTTTCGCATGGAATTCGGTGGGATTACCTGCAAATGTCATAGAATTGTCTTCGGACTTGGGGTTCAAGATTCCTATTCTAGATGCAAATATCATGCCACGGGACTGGAATCGGATTTGAATCAAAATGGAAGGGTGATTGGGAGTTCCCGACATCAATTTGCCTTTTTGATTGAGAACTTGACCTCTGGAAAGCGTCCACTGTGATGAGATGGCTCGTCCTCGGAAAAAAAAATCTAGCAAAGTCAGCTGAAAGGTCTCGCAAAGGGTGAGAACAGAAAAAAAGAGCAAGGCATGCGGAATGGAAAACGTTCAAAGTAATGCTATCGATGAAATGTTCGGTTTTCTCTTTCGAAGAACGGTTCGTGCAGCAAGAAGTGAACAACGGAAAATTTGCCCCAAAGCTTCAGCTATTACCATTGTCCCAAATATCATACAAATAAAATCCAAGTTTAGGCTCACGGATCTCAGGAACTAAATTGCTTCTCGAAATAAAGCCCTCAAATATTCAGAAATAAGAAAAAATTATAAACTACTAAAATATAAACATAGAACAAAGTAATCTAAAATGGATTAATAAATAACCCAGTCCAACAGATGGAATGACGGTTCCCTCCCACTGTCTCAGCATGATTTTCCATCACTTTCTCCTTCTCTGCCCATGAAATATGAATGAAGACTATTCCTGTACGAGACTCGAGGGGCCTGCCAAGAAGTCTCACGGCGCAGATCCTCGAGGATCCAGGTGAGAATCAGTGAGAACAAGTGGGAATAAGAGGCCATGAATTTCTCACAGATATCGATGGATCCTAACCAGGGGCATCGATCCGGATATTACCTCAAACGTAAGTCCCGGAAAGTCCCGTTTCCTTTTGCGGAAAAATCAATAGGACAGAAAACATAATTAATCGGAGGGCTCGAGGAAAGGAAAAGACTTATTCGCCGCATAAATATGCAAACTTGATGGGGCTGTGAGGCTTTCCCAGAGACAGGGGGGCGTCTTCATACATATTCGCTTCCTTCCTCCTCCTTATTTCGGTCGCCATCTAAAACAGAGAAAAAGAAGAGGAAAAAAATAATCATACAGAAGTACCCAATGATACGACGCTCAAAACGACAAAACCCTCTCAGAACAGTCGACACTTATTGAAGTCAGTGTCTCGATTTGGGACAAAAATGAAGACAACTTCACGCATTTCAAGCATAAATTAATGAAACCCCTGCGCCATTCTGGTTTGACCGCCCCTTAAACTCATATTTCTGTATTCATATTTTCTTTTCCTTCCAAGAAATTCTTACACCTTGTGGAATGTTCACTCGCCTAAAATGCACAAAAATAATACGATTGCTCAAGTCAGTTTCAACGCAAAAAATTATTTAAAAAAAAACGAAGAGCAAAAATCCTTCAAAGAAGTTGTAGTTGATATGGAAATAATGATGAAATCGAAAAATTCCAAGTGTATCTGAAAGACTCGTGCAAGAAGACCAAGAGCGTCGCCGAGAGGGATCTATTCGACGCGGAGTTTTTTTTTTAAGCAGAGCGCGACGCTACGTCACCCCCTAGGAGCATAGACCATACAAGGATGCCAAAAAAAGAAATGATCCTATGCCGTTCTTCTCCTCAAATTACATAGGAAATCGATGGAAGGAAACGCGAAGCGGCAAGAAGGTGCAGGGTCATGAAATATGCACACAGTAATGCAAGAGAGAATGGATTCTTTGGCAAGACTTTTCTTGGTCCTGTCAAGAAAAGAAAAAAAAAGGAAGCAGAACATC